TTTTGTCTTATTTGTAGTTTATTTTTAGTTTTTATGTATGGTAAATTGTAAACAAGTAACCATTGATGCGTGGTTCAATTTATGTTGTTTATATTTTCTGATTATGTTTGGTTTATTTTATGTTTTTGGATGATTTTTTTGTGTTGAATTTTGGTTCTTGATTTGTTTGGAGAGTTGGTTAGGTTCTTTATACTTGTTTTGTTTTCGGTATCAATATAATATCCCTATCGTTTCGAAAAAAAAAAAGAGTAAGAGTATTAGTTTTATAATAAACTGAAAATAAATTATGTATAAATTTAAATTTATTGCATATTTGTAATGATTTATAAACATATAATAGACTAAAAATAAACTATATATAAAACTGAAAATAAATTATGTATAAAACTAAAAATAAACATATAATAAACTAAGAATAAACTATGTATAAAACTGATTTATAAACCCAAGATAAACCAAAAATAAACTATAAATTTACGCAAATGGGCAACAAAATTTTGTATTTTGTATTTATATGAATGTATACTTGTAATGATTTATAAACTTATAATACACTAAAAGTAAACTATATATAGATTTACAGTAGAAAAATTGAGTTATAAACCCGAAAATAAATTAGATAAATTTATGCAAGCAAAGGCCAACAAAATGTACAAAATGTTATATCATGTATTTATATGAATGAAATACTCACACATCCCAATTGCTGCTAAGAAAAAAAAGTTTGTCTACCATCCGAACTCCATATAACATTTTTCTCCTATTTCAAAATTCACCCATTTTGCTCAAATCTAGAGTCTGTGGCTTGGTTTCATGAGAGGCGACAAAACTCCAACCAGAGTCTTGCCCAAATTGGAATTAGGTTATGAGAATCGTGATGGGATTCTTGTTGCTGGCCTTGGTTTCGGCCGAATAGATGGCGAGAAGTACGACCATCAGAGAGTATTCGGAACAGTTACGAGCTTCGAGGGAGGACGTTTCTCGCATTAGCTTTGGCTGCCCCAACTATTTGAAGATGCTGATCGATGGCGTCCAAGACCTTGAAGACTGTACCTCGTGGTCCACCGCAGCAGGGCCCGGTGGTCAAGCGCCTGTACAGTTTAAAAACAGAGTGTATCAGATGGCAAAGTAGAAAGGAGACAATTGTATTCTCCCTTTCCTGAAGAGGGGCAGACTTCCGTCTCGCATTTTTTTTTTTTAACGAAACGATAGATTTTATATAACCTCAAAAGCGAGAATACATGATACTGCCCGAGGACTAACTAGCCTTACAAATCCACTGAAAGATTGAATAAGGGAGCAATGCTAACAGGCACCGTAAACAACAACAAAACAACACGAAAAGAGTCCAAGCATACGACAGTGACAACTTCGCAACCAGTAAGCTTGAAACTCAATCCATACAAAAGAAAAAACTAAAGCTCCAACAGGTGGAGAATAAGCTTCCCACATGGGGAAAAAAACACACTTACACTTAAAACTAAAATCACACACCTACAATAAACACTAGAATACTACCTCCTCTCCACCTTGCAAGCAGACAATAATAGGCACACAACCCAGCCATAAGCCCGAACCCACAACACAGAGACCCAAACTAATAACTAAAGGCAGCTACAGAAAAAGACCCCAATGCTTAAAACTCCAGCTAAAATAGCAGCTAGAAAAAACTGGCAACGAGGCTAGCCTCGACCCATATCTTCGGGCTGAGCCGGAGAAGCCCAGTACAGCCCCATCGGCGAAGGCCGACACTAATTTTCCTCCAAAAACGACCAACACGAGGAATAGAGGACGGACCAATCGGCACAAGGTGGGCGACTGAAAGACGAAACGGCAGCACACATCCTTGCCGGAGAGGGGCGGCACGACGAAATCGCCGTCTCACCCCTCCCACACAAGGGCTGCAGAGGGTCGGGAAGGAGTCAATTACCTTGGCTATTACCGGCGCTGAGAGGCCGAGTACAGGGCTGTTGCGTCTGCCGGCGGGAGGAGAAGAGGGGCCACAGAGATTGAGTATTTGGATTCTAGGTTTCGAAGAGAGAGAACCGAGAAATTGGGGAAAAGGGAAAAAGGACAATATTTGGAGCACTTGATTTCCCGTCTCGCATTAGCTCTTCAATTTTTGTTTCATTTTTTAAGTGGACATCGTTAGATTAGAAAGACGTTTTATATGGATCAGCATTTTGTGATAAAACTTTGTGTCTCGTAATTGAGGCATTGTTGTCAGTTCATAATTACATACGTGTCCTTTGGCCTTCAATTTTATGGTTTAAAAAATACGCAGCATCACGTGGCACAATACCCAGTTGCCAATATCCATATTATCTTCTTCAACTAACCAACTGCAACAAAAATTTATAGCTCGCGCTTGAAAGAAATGGCTACCATGGCTTCGATCTCTTCATTACCTCTCAAATCCGTTGATCGCATTTCTTCTTCATCGTCTCACCGTGAAAAATCCCTCAATTCCTCTTCCAAGCGCTTAAAACCCTTTTCCGTCACCTGCCGACTGGACGCTCCGACCAAAAGAAGCGATACAGGTGATCTTCGAATCGTTGACCCCGAAATAGTCAGTGATTCTTACAGTCATATGTAAAATTTGCGAATGAAGTTTGTTAATTTTCCTATATGGGTCGCAGAACGAAAGAGGTGGAGAAAGTTTGTTTCGACTTCATTGGCGGCTGCGGCTGTGATTGCGCTTGGCTCTGCCAACATATCCGCCTTGGCGGAGCTCAATAAGTTTGAAGCTGAAACAAGGGGCGAGTTTGGAATTGGCTCGGCAGCCCAATTTGGCTCTGCAGATCTCAAGTCCGTTTCGATGCAATTAGTTTTGTGTTCTTACATAATTATTTGTTTTCAGATTTTAGGATTTTTGTTTAATATTTGTGTTTTGCAGGAAAGCTGTACATGTTAATGAAAATTTCAGGTAATTTTTGTCTTTGTATGAAGATTGGTCTAACGCAGTATATAGTCTTTGAAATGCTTTATGTCAAGTAAGCAAGCCTTGTGCGAAAAGAGTGAAATGCATTTTCTTTTGTATTTTACTACTGAAAACAATTCAATGTGTATCTTTAGCGCTAAAAAAACGTTTAGTATTAGCTACATTGCCTTGCGGGCCTTGACAAGATGAGTGTTCTTTGAAATATACAGTTCTCATGATAAAGTTCTGTTCTTGAAGTGAAATAGAACTGAGATATTTGAAAAAAAAAAGTTATATTCATATTATTGTTGAAATGGCTGATACAGAAGAGCCAATTTCACAGCTGCTGATATGAGGGAATCAGATTTCAGTGGCTCGACTTTCAACGGTGCTTACCTTGAGAAAGCAGTTGCGTATAAAGCCAATTTCTCTGGTACGTTTCTGTTTCCTGATTTTGTTGGATATAAACACATATTTGAAGTATTGAAATTTCAAGGAGCAAAGAGGGCTACTTGGAATCTAACTATCTATTGGAAACTATAATGTTTTGCCTTTTAAGCATTAGCTTAGGGAGCAAAATTCAGATTTTAGATAGTTGTTTTCTATTCATATCCCGACACGATCATGGAAGTTATGTATTTTTGTGTGCGATTCTCGATAGTAAGCTTTAACCAGAATAAGTTTATAAAAAGGACGTACATTGCAAATGTGGAAAAATATGACTACATCTATCTTTATATTAGTACTCCAACTGATTCTGAATGTTTCAGACAATGTTTCTCTAATCTTAACTGGTAAACAATTATAAAATGTTTTATGAATTTTCACATGTCAGATCTATATATATTGCAAATATGGAACAATATGACTACATCTAGCTGTTAATTAGTACTCCCACTGATTCTGAATGCTTCAGACAATGACTGATCTTATCAAGTAAATAAAACGTTTGATGAACTTTCACATATCATCTCAAATTATTTACGCTGATGCAAATGAACAAGTAGAAAACGTTAAATCAACGTTTCCAGTTTTCAGAAATACTTCAGAAAAATGATAATCCAATGTTTCAGGATGAAGTGGAAACGTCAAGACTAATAAGTCGATAAGCGGTACCCGACCCAAGTTTTGACAATGATGATTTATCAACATGTGTTGCTTCTCTATTTCTTTCATGCCTTCCTCAAATAACTCAAAACCCATAATGTTAACACTTCTAGCATTATCTCTCTCGCTTTACCACATGATGATTTGGCAAACCACATCATTTTGCAGGTGCGGATCTCAGTGACACTCTAATGGATCGCATGGTAAGGCAACACATGGTTGTATCCCCTTATCTTTCCGGTTACATGGTCTTATGCTAATATAAATCAAATTTCTATTGACATTTTTCGTAAGAATTTTGAAACAAAACATAGTATAGTCTCATGTTTTATTTTTTTACAATTTGATTTTCATTTCAGGTTCTGAATGAAGCTAATCTGACAAATGCAGTGTTAGTTAGATCAGTCCTGACCCGGAGTGATCTTGGGGGAGCTAAAATTGACGGTGCTGATTTTAGTGATGCTG